CCAGGGGGTTTTTTTGTCAGATTTTTTTGTCGCTCAGGTTTTTTTGTTTATATTTTTAAGTGCGACAGGTTTTATGTTTTTTATTTGGCCTTTTTTGGGGCTGGAAAAAGAAGATTTTAGAAAAAAGAATAGATCAAATGGTAAATTGTATTTCTTTTTTTTACAGGTACTTAGTTATTGTTCCCCCCTCACTATTTTTAGGGTGAGGTGGGTAGGTAGGGATTTATACATTTTTTTGGGAGGGGGTCACTAGAGGTTTGGGGGGTGGACCTAGTCACCTGGGGGGGTAACATTTTTATTTAGGGCCCCCACCTGCCGCTCAGGGGTAGGGGCAGGGGGGAGGACAGTAGGTCCACCCCCCTTATTGGTAATTAGGGCCCCTACCCGCCGCTATGGGGTGGGGGGCAGGGGGGAGGACAATAGGTCCCCCCCTTTGAAGTAATTTAGGGCCCCCACCCACTGCTCAGGGGTGGGGGCTGAGGTGGGAGGACAATAGCCCCCCTGTTTTACTTTAGGGCCCCCACCCGCCACTCAGGGGTGGGGGCTGGGGGGGGAGGACAATAGGTTCCCCCCCTTATTCTGATTTAGGGCCCCCACCCGCCACTCAGGGGTGTGGGCCAGTGGGGAAGGACAATAGGTTCCCCCCCTTATTCTGATTTAGGGCCCCCACCCGCCACTCAGTGGTGGGGGCCGGGGGGAGGACAATAGGTCCCCACTTATTCTACTTTAGGGCCCCCACTCGCCGCTCAGGGCACGGGTGGGGGTTAGGAGGGGGGACACTTGGGTTTTTTGGGGGGGAGGTTTAACATTGAGCAACCACAGGCTGCTCACTGTTTACTAGACATGACCCTACTCGCAGTATAGCGAGTAGGGGCAGAATTTACTAATACTTAGTCATCTTTACTTAGTATTAGTATATTTGACTAAAAGACTAATTTAGGTCTTTCAGCCTTTTGGCTGCAAGAGAACATCCGAAGTCCAGAAGTGCCGAAGTCCAGAAATTCCAAAGTTCAGAAATTCCGAAGTTCCGAAGTTGCTGAAGTTCCGAAGTGTCAAAGTGCCAAAGTACTGAAGTTCCGAAGTGTCGAAGTGCTGAATTTTAGAAGTGCCGAAGTTCTGAAGTGCCGAAATCCCAAATTTCGGAATGCCGAACCGAATATTTTCCCCATGCATATCCCTACTAGACCATGATATTTACCATTTTATGTCTCTCTTGACTTGGGTATTTGAACAACTGTGTTCACAATTGTCAAAAGCTTTTGAAAATGCTCAGTCGAAACACGTCAAGTGAAGACTTATCTTACTCACAGTTTGTTTTTATACTTATCTTACTCACAGTTTGTTTTTTATTTACATAGCTGTTGTTTCCAGCATTTTTATAATATAGTAGAATATTTATATACCTATCTGTGGAGTACATCCTTCATACAGCCCTCATCATCCTTCGGGTTCCGTCGTATATCTTTAGGCGGGGACTGTTCCACCTCACACTCTTCACACCAGAGCAGGACATTGCTCTAGGTTACGTAAGTAGGATTGTTACAAACTGCCATTTGTAACTGGCCCTTTAAATGGCAAATTGCCCTGCTCCCCTGGGTGGTGGAGAAGCCTATTTGCCAGCCTCCTTCCGCATGACTATGGCCCCTGGGAGATTGTGAAAACGTATGGACTTTTATTTGGTGTGTATGGCCCTTTAAGACAGTCGGTGGGCATATTGGGGCTTATGGACTTTTTATGGGACTGGTGCTGGCCCTTTAAGCACCTTTTTGGGGCATAGGGAAAATTGGGACACTGCCCCTTTAAGACGGTGTCCCCAGACGTGTTTGGGACACTGCCCCTTTAAGACGGTGTCCCCATGTCCCCAGACCTGGTTAAAACCCTTTGTTCCTAGCTATTTCCCACTTGGTTCAGTAAATGGGGCTTACTGAACCAAGTACCACACAGGCGGGAGTGTGTCGGCAATTTACCTCCTAGAAGCTGCGGTTAACCGCAGCCTAATTGACAATGCTGGGTGACCTTTGTTCGTTTGCCGAACACGTGGCGGCGGCTATCTTTGTTCATTCGCACGAGGTCAGCGGTATGTGTAGCCAAATTCATGGAACTAAAATCGGCTACACATTTCCGTGAACACTGCTGAGCCTTACCTTCTCCCACAATGATTTTGCAGCCACAGAGACTGTTCCATTCGGCGATGGGTCGTTTTTTCAGCCTGAAATAGACCGACCGCACAGCCCAAATCTATGGAACTGTTTTGGGCATGAAAATGTGCTTGCGGTCGGTCATAAAGGGACCTCCAGCTAACTTTTTAACTCCTGGAGGGATTTGGCTGATACTTGGTTCTGTTTATATTTGAAGGTTGCTGATTCTAATATGTCATAAATATGTCATAGAAGATTGGATGTATGGTTTTAAAGTTACAGGATATGTGTAAAAATTTTATTTTTCTTGCCTGTGTTAATTATGTAACATAATTATATCACAGGCAGAGGGGAGGATTTTTGTATGTAATTGCTGGGAGTGTTTTCTGTAATGTACGTGTATGATTGGTTGTTTTGTAAAACCCTGTGGGTGGTCCTATCTAAGGGAAACCTGCATAAAAGAAGGTTCTTTTGGTGCCAATAAACAGAATGACTTGACCCTCTAACATGTAGCCTTGACTCATGTTTGTAGGGGACAGCTATAATCACTACAGGGATTGCTATGCTCTTCATACTCCCTTAGCTACTGAGCTCTTGTAAGAGCTCTTGTTCCTGATCCTGCTTTGCTCTACAGAAGGAAGAGGTTCAGCTACTGGAACCTGGAGCCTGGTCGTAGGTCCAGGGTGGATAGCAGCTGGCGAGATCCTAGCCCAGCAGCGGCGGTTCGTGGAGTCTGCAGTACTTATGGTGTCTACGCAGTAGTTATGGTGTCTACGTTGCTGATGGTCCTTTGGTGAGCGCTAGGAGCATCCTTTCTACGGTCCAACTTCCAGCCAGCCTGGAGGCATCCGTAACAAGGATATTGTCCTCCATCTGTACCATTTGTCTGTATATACAATACCATTGGAATTTTCTTTGTGTTTTTTCCATATGATGTCTTTACAACCCTGATATCAAGCTTAAAATACCCTCCACTTATATCCATAGATGGGGATTATTCTGTCCAGGCCTCCTTATTAGAGCTGAGACAGCTCTATAAAGTATGAGTGTGCAATTTGCTCATATACACTCCTTCTAATACCACATATTGTACTGCACCATTATTTGTCTCTTGTTTTATGTTCATAGATTTATATACTAGAAACTAAATCTGTACCATATGTATATAAATGTTAAGCGTTGATCACCTCCTGTATTTTGCTTGTACTATATATTTCACAAGGGAGAGGGAACCCCTTGTTTTTGAATTGCTGCTAGCTTTTTTTCTTTTTAATTCTTTATTTTTGTTGTGCATTTGCTTAAACATAGTCGCTTGAGATGCCACAGCAGCTGTCTCAGGCTTCAAAACATGAAACATAGATAGACATTTGGCATTAAAATACTTTGCACAATTTTTTAAATTAGGTTCTTACATTACAACATTCTATCTAGAGTTACCGCTAGATCGCCATAGTCTCCTGCCTGGAGGAAGAAGTTGTATATGTTTAATATACTCTATACGTCCAGTGTGTGACTAGGGTTCTGAGCAACTATTCCTCGTTCCGTGTAAGTGGTTCTTAGTGTTAGCTATGGTGATAAGGAAATATGCCCCACTTCTTGTCAGTGTGGCTTTGTCTAGGGCCCCAGGTTCTGGCGTGTTTGGTGTGGGTGTAAGTAACTCTGTCCCTGGGTTTGCACTATGTGTTTCGTTGATACTCGTGTGGTGTCATGTGGTCAGTGACCCCTAACCAGGGAGGCCGCGGGGGGGCGGGATACTCCAGCGGCCCTGTTGTTGGCCCAAACATGAGAGTGGTTTTCTGTGTAGTGTGCTACTCGTTTGTGGCTGTATCGGTGTGCGGGTTTTTGCCGTTACGGTGGCCCTTTAATCCAGGGAGAGGTTGTGTGCCTTACAGTGGTGCCTAGTTCAAAAGCAGTAAACGTTAAAAATAGTTTGAAACCAAGTGAAAACAAATTAGAACAGTAATGGCATCATTGGTGAGAAGTGCCTGTGGGCTGAAAGGCAGTCATTGGTGTCAGGTGGCTGCCTCAGGGGCTCCTCTCCCTCTTGGTACAAAAGGGACAGTCCTGGTGGGGTCCCATGTGTGGGAGATGGTGGGTTCTTCTGTATGGTCAGGTCCTAGTGGGAGCCCCAGTGCCCTGAGGAAAGAGTCCACCTCCTGAGTGGAATTGAGGTGTAGAGTGGTGCCGTAGTGTTTTTGGTGCTGTCCAGCGGTATGTCATCTTGGCGTCTTGGAGGCGACGGGTCATAGGGTGCAGGGTTCTTCTCCATTGGAGTATGGATCTCGTCATGTCTTCATAAAAGGTAAGACTCACGGATTCAAAGTGCAGTGGTGTTTTGCCTTTTAAGTCAGCGAAGATGGCATTTCTGTCTGTTTGGGTATGGCACCGGAAGATCACGTCTTTGGTTGCGTGGAGGGATGCCTGTGGTGATTTACGGATGCGCAATAACCCTGCAATAATTAATTTTTTGGCCTGTGCGTGTGGCAATATGGTGGCGACCAGGCATCTGATGTAGTGTGGCAGCTCTGCCTGACTTATTTTGTCAGGGATACCCCTAATTTTCACATTGCTTTTACGGCTTCTCTCTTCTACTGCATTCAGCTTATTGATTGCTGGGATTTTAACTGGGACACTGTTTCTTTTAGGCTCCTCACTTCGTTTTGGACGTCTATGATGTCCTCTTCTGTGGTCTTCACTCGGTCTGTGACCGCTTGGACCTCTGTTTTCATTAAAGCCATGTCTGCCGCAGACATTTATTTTAGCTCCATTAGGAGGTTTCTAATGTCTAATTTTGTGGCTGGTGTCAGTGCATCAGGGTCAGCTTGTGCACCTTGGGATGGCGGGGGGTCTCGGGTGTCCCCCATGGCGAGCTCCGAGCACGTGGAGCTTGTGTCTGGGTCGGGTGTGGCCACCATTTTCGGGACCGCGGTGCGCTGGAGCATAGTGCTAATGTCCTGTGTATCTTTGCACGTACCTGTTGCTATCCGCTGGGATTTTCGTCCCATGTTTGCTGGGTCGGTGGCTGTGTGCTCCGTGGGCGGTAAGGCAGTGGAGAAGACCGCCTTGTGGAGCGCCGTTTCGAAGGCCCTGTAGTCTGAGTAGGCCTTAGTTGTGCGGCATGTTTTCCGTCACGTCTGGCGGTATAAGAAGGACATCGGTCAGTTGAGAGCTCTGCCCCCCTGCCCAGGCCGTCGGTTGTTAGCTCTGTAAGGGCTGTAATAGCAGTTTTTGTCGTTGATTAGTCTCGTTGTTGCTGGAGCTTGCACAAATTGCTGCTAGCTTTTGTTGGATATTTTTTTTTTTTTTGCTGTGCACAAAATTAACAAACAGCCTTGGCACGCCACAGCAGCAGTATCAAGGTATAAAGAAGTACAGTATGCAGTACAGGTTGTGGTATTTGCTAGTCAGGCACATTTTTGTTGTAGTGGAAGCAAGGTGTCAGCTGTTAGATATCTCTTCTTGATTATTAAGCTAGCAAAGTATATATGTTAAAGGACTTTTGTATAGGCGTAACACAATAGTTAATTATGACCTGCATGAGGGGCTCAAGACATTTACTCATATGCATAAATACTCATAGACACCCCTATCTACTAAGTATGACTACCATTTTATAATGTTATAGAAACAAGATGACCTCAAGCTACACAATCATGTCTAACTACGAGAGTAAAACAAGGAGGGCCTAGTACAGTATATCAGACTCGTTATGTTCGTTAATTGTTGGGAACCTAGACATGTTGATGTACCCCACTGTTACTTTAGATAAACATGCTATCGATAGCGCAGTTAGTGCACCCCTGGGTGCAGTATAAGTAGTAAACCGCACTGCAGTGTCATTAGACAGCGTGAGTGGAGGCAACAGAAATGAAAAGCAAATTCTAAAAAGAAAATAATACTCAAGGTTTGGTGCATGGCATTTAAAGGCAAAAATAGCTTCTCTGGTTGTTAAGGGGAAAGTCCAGCCCAGTGTCAGTCCCATAATCTAGCTTAGCCGATTCCGTCAGGTGGCAGGGTATCTGCATGACTGGAGTTGGTGGCTCTGTAAAGCGTGGTGTCTCCTCTGCCCCAGGTTTCCAGGAGGGCCAGCATATGTGAACCACAGACTTGAATTCGTTGAGGGACCAAATCTATCCCCCTCTCAGGAGGTAGTAAGGAGTCGTCTCAGCTGGTGTGTGGTTCACCGCCCGTGTGGATGATGCTTGGAGCACTTGCCTCGTGTGGCTCACTACCTGGGCGAGCGGTAGTGAGGTTGCGGGAGCATTATTTTATATTTAGTGCTCTGAGGAGGCTTTACCATGCCTGAGTGCCCCATTCTCCTGTTTCCCTTCCCTAGCACTGAGCTGTGAGTAGCGGTGGCTTGTACCCTAAGCCAAAAGGCCTGGAAGATTTGATCCAGTCGCCTCAATGAGTAGGTATAAGCTTCGCTGAGTGTCCCCTTGGTTGCAGCTGTGCCACGTGCTGTTGTGAGGGCTGCATCCGCCATTATGGGGATATGGATGTCTGTGCGATCTGCTCAGTGGGCTATAGGGGTAACGTTGGTGTAGCTGACTGCTCTCCAGGGGGGGACTGGGATATCCCCCGCCGGTCTGGGGGGGGGAGGTGGAGTCGTGCTTAGAGTAGGAAGGAGAGCGGAAGGAGAGTGGCCATCTGTCCCCCGGTCTGAGTCCAGTAGGCCTCAACGATATTTAAGGATAACATCCTCAATGGTATTCATGGATAACATCCAGCTCATCTACTCTTGCTTCCTGAGGCTTTCTGATCAGACTTAATGCAAGTGTAACTATTTGTTATCCTGTTAATTTTCAATTTTTTTTTTCAAACCACATAGAATCTTCTAGTATACATGTTGAATTGTGTTTTTTTTTATCTGTCATTTGTTGGTCTGTTTCAATATGGTTGTCCTTTTACCTATCCTTTTATTTTTTTATTTTATTTTTTCTAAAATTCTTACTTCTCTGTTTTGTAATCCATACTTTTTAAAATTATTTAAGATTATTATTTTTTTATTATATTTTTTTATTTTGTTGTATGTTGTTTAGCCACAACCTGATGGGTAGCCTTAGACTGTTCAGACAAAAAAAAGGAAGTAGAGGTCAAGTACTTTTTAGGTGATGAATATTGCTTTTTTGAAAGCAGGGTTGGGGCTGGAAAAATATGGACATGTTAAATTGAGTGCTTAGCAACAAAAACAGAGAATAGGAGAACTCTGAGAAGGGGCAAAAGCTTAAAGCTTAAAGGGGCAAAAGCTTTTAAATCCCCGCTCAGGTCTTAAAATAGGTTTTACTCACTTGTGTCACTATTCCTAATGCATTGCTAAAATTAAAAATATTTGAATGTTTACCCTATTTTGATCATCTCAATTTAATTCGATGAAAATGCTTGTATGTATAATGTATTTCTTTCTCTTCCTAATAAATAAAAATTGTTTAAAATAAAAAAATAAGTTGGGGTAAAATGGATGCTGGCTTAATTTTCCAACTCTTGGCTTAGTTTACAAAAAATGTGAGCAGAGTTTGGCCAGATGTCTATTATTCTGACCAGTCTGGACCGATTGCTTGCAGATTTCTGGAACAAGCCTCACCACTAGTGATGTCGCGAACATGAAATTTTCGGTTCGCAAACCGCGAACGCGAACTTCCGCAAATGTTCGCGAACCGGGCGAACCGGGCGAACCGCCATAGACTTCAATAGGCAGGCGAATTTTAAAACCCACAGGGACTCTTACTGGTTGAAGGGGGGGGGGGGAGACCTACTCTCCTCCCCCCCCGGCCTCCACCCCTGAGCGGTGGGTGGGGGCCCTAATAACAATAAGGGGGGGACCTATTGTCCCCCCCGGCCCCCACCCCTGAGTGGTGGGTGGGGGCCCTAAAATGAACAATAAGGGGGGGACCTATTGTCCCCCCTGGCCCCCACCCCTGAGCGGTGGGTGGGGGCCCTAAAATGAACAATGCGCGGCGGGTGGGGGCCATATTGATAATGAGGGGGGGACCTACTGCCCCCCCGGCCCCCACCCCTGCGCGGCGGGTGGGGGCCATATTGATAATGAGGGGGACCTACTGCCCCCCTGCGGCGGCGGGTGGGGGCCATATAATGATGGGGGGACCTACTGTCCTCCCCCCCGGCCCCCACCCCTGGGCTGCGGGTGGGGGCCCTAAGTAAATTCCCCCCCCAAGGTGACTAGGGGTCCCCAAGCCCCTAATCACCCACCCCCCCAAATAAAAAGTCCCTACCTACCCCCCTCACCCTAAAAAATAGTGAGGGGGGAATAAAATAACTAACCTGTAAAATAAAAGTAAACTTACCATTCGACGTCTTCTTTTTTCTCAAATCTTTATTTTTCAGCCCCAAAAAAGGGCAAATAAAAAACCATCATAACCGTTGAACTAAAAAAAAAATTTAAAAATCCCGAGCGCAAAAAAAAAACCTGACGAAAAAGAAAAAACCTGAGCGCAAAAAAATAATCCATCTTCACCCATGGAGGGCTCCGCGCAGACTGAGCTCTGCAGGGCGGGGGAAGGCTTATAAAGCCTTGCCACGCCCTGCAATTAGGCTAAGAACACTCTGATTGGTGGGTTTAAGCCAATCAGTGTGCTCTTTGTCATTTTACACCGCGTGGGAAAATTCAAAAGAACTTTCCCACGCTGTGTAAAATGACACAGAGCACTGTGATTGGATGGCTTGAATCCATCCAATCACAGTGCTCTGTGTCATTTTACACAGCGTGGGAAATATCAATATTTCAGGGGTGGGGTGGGGGCCGGGGGGGGCAGTAGGTCCCCCCCCTCATTTTCAATATGGCCCCCACCCGCCGCGCAGGGGTGGGGGCGGGGGGGACAATAGGTCCCCCCCTTATTGTTCATTTTAGGGCCCCCACCCACCGCTCAGGGGTGGGGGCCGGGGGGGACAATAGGATCCCCCTTATTGTTATTTTTAGGGCCCCCACCCACCGCTCAGGGTTGGGGGCCCGGGGGGAGGACAATAGGTCCCCCCCTATTAGTATTTAGGACCCCGGGGGGGGACCCTTTTTTTTTTTAAACAGAGAGCAGCCACAGGCTGCTCACTGTTTAATAGACATGCCCCTACTCGCGGTATTGCGAGTAGGGGCACAATTTACTAATACTAAGTAATTTTTACTTAGTATTAGTAAATTAATAGGGGGCGGACCGAACATCGCATATGTTCGCCATCCGTGGCGAACGCGAACACACTATGTTCGCCAGGAACTATTCGCTGGCGAACCGTTCGGGACATCACTACTCACCACCAGTTGACTCTCACAACAGACAGCTTGCAAAGGCTTCAGACAAAAGATTTGCAACTTGCAAGCTGTTTTTAGATACACCTCTAATGAAAAAATGAAAAATTAAGTGCATTTTTCATTAGGGGTACATATACTAAACATGTTTTATATTTTTTAGTATTTGGCAGTTTAGTGTCCCCTTAACCTAAATATTGTCATTAGACTTATGCAATGTATGTAAGTTCATTTTGGCTGAACAATTTTTCCCAAAAATTTTGTTTTGTTCAGGTCTGATGCTCGTCAATGCGACTGTTTGGCTTGGCCAGAAGTCGTCCATGAAAACGTTTTCAGGGAAATATTCAGATATGCCAAAAAAGCGGGAAATATATGCATATTAGCATGTTGCAGTGCTAGGCAATATCAGCAAATTGTGAAGCCAATTCCGAATTGTCAACTTGTCATGCTTATATTGTTATATCTCTATTAAAAAAAAAAAATAAGGGAAAGAACTTTTATGATGATGATCTATTGTTCTTTCGTTTGCAATCTTGTTTTAATGAAAAATGGGCATCAGCTGCAGGAGAAGTCCTTTTAAGTTAAAAAAATGATTTTGTTCAAAAAATGAAAGGAAAAATAGTCGGTAACTGACAACCCATTTGCCCCTTCCACCAAGAAAAGAACAAAGCTTTCCTGCAAATCACGTCTAAAGCATCAGTGATTGTCCTTTAGTTTTACAAAAAGTCAGTGCCCTTGTTTCAGCAGGAGTCATTTAATTTGAAAAAAGGGGATTAAAAAAA